AGCGGTGTTTTTTTAGACTTTGCAAAGTGCACCCTATGTTACATGAAACACTTATGTCAGACTGTTGTGTTTTTTGGGATGTTTCCAAATGCTGATTTTTTTGGTAGCTATGCAGCACTTGCATTATAGAAGAGTAACGCTATGGTTGATTTGTAGCAATGAGTCCAAAGAGTTCAAAGAGAGCAAGAAGTCCTGCAAGCAATTCAAAGGTTCCAGAGATTGAGGTTACTGTTGAAGAAGGTAGGGAAACTTCCTTTAGGGAGTATTCTTAAAAGAATTTCCAGTAGGAATTGCAGAATAGCTTTCATACTCATTACATTATCTTCATAGAAGTTGCGATCGCTAACTTGTGCTGTACTTACTAGTAAGTGTAATGTAGCTTCAGGATGCTTTTACTTTTGATTTTGTATTTATGAGTAACAGGTTGAGTTACGTGAAGGATGGTGGTTCACAGCACATTTGGGCTCTTCATTTCACATAGGGAAATAACTGATTTTAAGTTAAAGGGAGATAGTACAAAGGTGTGTAGTGATTATAGCAATGCTAAAATGTTATGTTAAATTCCAGAATTCTTCATTCTAAACTAAATTTTGGTTCCACTATTGACTCAAAGGCTAAGTTTTGCTTAGTAGTCAGTTGTGTTATTTCCTTGTTTTTCTTGTCTTGCAGGATAGGTAACTTGTAGTGAGCATGTGTATAAAGCATTTGATGTGTTTTCTGCAGGTCCTAATAAGCCACCAGCGACAGAAGTTCGAACTAATCCTCAAACCAATGGATCCAATCTGGGCTTCAAGCCACGAGGAAGAGAGTTCTCTTTTGGTCGGTATCATGGGACTTGATATACTTAATAACTTCTGTTAATACTGATGCTTAAAAGTTTTAGAGACTTCAAATTTGAAAGTTGTTATTCTGTTGGTGACTGAAATTCTTTTGAGTTGCTCTGTACTCAAATGACTCATTGTGGAACTTGAAGACTGAGCAATTCTTGGGTGTCAGGGAGCAGTATTAAAAGATTACCTTTGGGGTATGATAACAGGGCCATATGTAGGACTCGAGGTGTTACTTCCCTCTTTTCCTTGGTGCTATGCATTTCATTGGTACTGTAATTGTGAAATATAAAACAATAGAAACCTTTGCCTATGCTCAAGACGCGCTTAGAAAGGAGAAGGAAAAGTTAGTATTAATTTATGAAAAATGTCTACCTTGATGTAATACTGATATTGTTGAGAGATTTGCATTTTCTCAAGACAACAACTTGTCTATCTATCCAGGTCACATTGCTGAATGAATTAATAAAGGCCCTTTTGTGAGTGCTTTGGGTGCTGTCTGTCTCCCGATACAATTCTCTGTCCCTTGTTGGAAGAGTAAATGTGGCACTGTTTGGGTTAATTAAGTAAACGCTTTTGCTGCTTTCATTAGCTGTAACTTATGGAAGCCATCAAAGACAGCAGTTAGAATGTTAGGTATGGGTTTAGAATGGAAGGGAATAGTTCAGAGTTGTTCATAATATGTTCATATTTCTTTAAGCAATCACAGTAATTAATTAGTTTATTGATATGCAGTTTCTAGACACGTCCACATATGTTGTCTAATTCATCTTGTTTTTATGACAGAGGCTTGGAATGCCAAGATTACTGACCTAAAACAGAAAGTTGAAAATCTTTTTAATGAAAAATGTGGTGAGTTTGATGTTGACTGTAAGTGGTACTGTTTAGAACTGTTGGCACGCACTTGTTCATTTTTGCTCAGCATGTTTGATGGTGTTCTTCATCCACAGATTCCACGAAGCTCTACAACCCTTGCATACTTTGGTCTCTGTTTTCTCTTCTTAGGCTTACTTGTTCTGAGCTATCCATTTTCCTCTAATCTTTTTCTGTTTGCAACTAGAAATGGAGGGGGCGATGTCTGCACACATGCAGTGTCTGTTTTGACCCCTGAAATCTGTGTGCCCAGATATTTGAGACCAGTGGCTCCATATTGCCACATACCCTTACCTCCCACCTCTGTGGTGTGTGCCCTCTTTTTTTTTTTCTCTCATGCCTCACCAATGAAGATGCAATATTTGCAGTTTTTACTTGGGTCATGTCAACTTGAAAATACAGGAGACCCTCACCACTTGTGGTGGATATGTTCTCGTATCCCCCACGAATGGCGAAATCTGCAAATAAGGCACTGTTCATGACCGCTGTCTGCATTCATGAATGCAGCGCACCTGGTGACGGGCACGGCTGTGCCGGTGGCGGCGGGAGTGCGGTGGCGACGAGTGCGGCGCTCCCGAGGAGCTCCTTTAAACGTATTTAAGATGCAGGTTCGGCATTCGAAAATATTTTAAACTGTGAATGCCAAACCTGCGAATAGCGAGGGTTTCTTGTAAAATAAATACAACGCCGTGCTGCAGGAGAAGAGACTTGTAGTAGCTGATATTTCTGTGTTTTATTTCAGGGGAAGCTCTGGGGCTTACAGAACCTGTGAAGGTTCCATTTGCATTATTTGAATCTTACCCAGAGGATTTCTACGTGGAAGGTCTACCTGAGGGAGTACCTTTCCGTCGACCATCTACTTTTGGCATTCCAAGGCTGGAGAAGATCCTCAGAAATAAATCCAAGATAAAATTCATCATCAAAAAGTAAGACATCTAGATATCTCACCTCTTTTATTGGAAACAAATTGCAAGGCTAAAAATAGAGTTAAGCGCAGAAAAGAACTGGCTTCTTCAATTCCCCAGGCCAGGATCTATACGTGAGCAGCTTTAGCAAAACAGGAAACGGGAGGTTTTAATGTTGAGGAAAAGATGCGTAAGCATTTTTCTGTGTTGAATATTTCCTACAGCTTGGTTAACAGGAACCAGTCGGCCCACATTTCTAGGGTTATTTCAATTCCTGTTTTAGTTTTGCATTTCCCTTCTGTGGAGAGTTTGCAGGGTTTGGTTTAATGCAATCGCTTAGCTAAAAGGGCATGAGCACTACATTAAGGAATGAAAATGTTACAGCAAGGTTAGTGGAACTTGAGTTGAATATGGGTTTTAAATGTCTCTGTAAATGCAGGATTGGTTGCAGGCATGTGTATGCACAGGAGCTTAGCCACTGCATCTTCCCACAAGTAGCTTGCCTACTGATGCTGTAGAAATACAGCACTTAAGACTGCAACCAGTTCCACCATTTAAAAAAAAAAATTAAGTCATGGGTGATTTGAGAGCTCTTCTGTGATGAAGGTAGAAAAGTAGGAATAGCAAATGAAGTCTTGTTAAATTCAGCTTAACTAGCTTTGTGGTAATGATTTTGCTTTTTCCCCTTGTTGCTGCCGTTTTGCTAGTATTTCCTTTGCTGTTGGATGAAACAAGTATAATTTTACTGTTTAACATGAAATATTTAATATTTGTTTCCAGGCCTGAGATGTTTGAGGCAGCAATTAAGGAAAACTCTGCTAAAAGCCCTCAGAGTAAGTATCCTGAATGCTAATAATTTTGAGCAGCAGTCTGTCATGCTGCTTCCAAAACTGATAATACTTCAAGAGCGTTACCCAGTGTAAACCTATTCCTGAACAATTTATGGTGTGTTCCCTGGGTTACATTAAGGGTCCTATCCAAGTGCACGTGGAGACCCAGCATTATATGTGGTGCCACTGGTAAATCTCTGTAGTACAGGTTAAATCCCTGCTCTGCGGAGGCAAAAGGCTACTGTGCTTTCCTGACTTCTATCCAGTTCCTTAATTTTTCTAGCTATTCACATAGCTAGTGTTCCAGATCACTGTCCTGTTTCGTTTTGACCAAATCCGTTTTGGAGATTTGGCTCTGCCAAATCTCCTCCTAATCTGTTTCAAATGGGCTGCAAGGGAAGCTTCGCACAACCCTACCCAGCCCCGGGGTGGCTCTTGCTGCCTCAGCAGGGAGCAGGACTGGGCCATGGGTGGATCGTTCGGGGGAGGGGGAAGGCTGCTGCCCTCCGTGCAGGTGAGGAGACCCCTGCGTGCATCTCTCATCCCTGTCTTGCTGAGTCGCGGGGCAGGTAAGCAGTGCAGAGCGGCGAGCAAGCCTGCTGATCCCTGCCACGCGACTTAGCTCCGCTGGGAGCAGAGATCCATGCCGGGGGGTCTCCTTGGTGTTGCTGCTCGCCCTGCGCTGGCCCGGCAGCGTGGGACTGCATGGGGTGGGTGTGGCGGCGAGGAGACTCCGGCACGGATCCCTGTTTTCTGCGGGGTCGAGTCACGTGGCAGGGATTCCCTGGCCCCCGGTTTGATTCCCTAACTCTGATCTTCCCTCAGCTCTTCCCCGGGGGTGCAGGCTCCTGGATCTGCGTGCTGGGTTTCAGCAGGCTGCTGCTGCAGGCTGGGGCCAGCGGCGGCACCACAGTCGTCTCGGCGCTTGGTGTGAGCTACGCCAAGCGGCTGCTGCTGGCCCCAGGCTGCAACCGCAGCCTGCTGAAACTCTTCATGCAGGTTGGGGACCCACACTGCCTGGAAAGAGCTGGGGAAAGTGATCAGAAAGCTGGGAGATTGAACCGGGAGCTAGACGTCAGTATCAGAGCGGTCCTTTCCTCCTCCCCCCCTTAGCTTTTGTTTCTCTGCAAGCCCGGCTCCAAACCTCCGAAATTCTCCAAAACATTTCCAAAACATTTTGGTGCCTTCCGTTTCAATTTGGTGTTTCGGGTGCCAGAACAGCCTGAAACACCTCTGAAATGAAATGGCTGCCGAAATTTCGCACAGCCCTAATAATCTACCCTTCTTTTTGCCTTCTCCTTGTGTAATTTTAAATGAAAGATGAATTCACTGAAGTCTGTTAAAACATGCCAGCATCAAAGTAAAAGGTAGTTTTGTGGAGAGCCAGGAACCAAATGTATTAGACCCATGGTTCAGCTGTTGAAAATGAGTCTAGCTTTCAAGTCAATTGAATTATGCCAGTTAACACCAGGGATAATCTGGCTCACTGTCAAACATTTCCTGTATGAATGAGAACTTAGTATTCTGCTGTTCTGTCCTTTGAGCAATGAATCTTACTAGGATTGATAAAAGTTTGAAAGGTCTAGTTTACTTGAACAAAACTTCAAAGATAAACTCCATATGATGTTTAAAAAAATCTAGTTAAGTCTATAGGGAAAGAAAGCAAGAACTGTTGTAATATAAAATTAAGTCATTTCTTTTCTTGGGTTGGATAATTTTTTTTTTCTTAAGTTAAAGAGAAGACTCTAAAGTCTCATATTCAATAGCAATTTAAGTGCTTCAGAGCCCAAGTATTACTGGAAGTCACTGTCATTTAGATTCCAAAGTGCCTGTCACTTTTTTAAAAAGGGGTCTTGGGTATTTGAAAATTTCACTTAAAATCTGCATGGGGCAAGGGTTTTTGAGGGTGATGATCTTTTATTGAACCAACTGCGTGGTGTGCCTTGTTGTGCCTGCTTTTCCCTCAGACCTGAAGAAGAATGCACTGCATTCAAAAGCTTGTCTATAGCTATCCCAACCATGCAGTTGATCCAATAAATGGTATCACCCACAAAAATCCTTGCCTCTTACATATTTCCTGGACCATCACTAGTACATTACTCCAACACTACCATAACTTCAAATCTGTTGCTTTCCCAATCTTTTTCTTCTTGCACGCTGTTCAAGGTTTTAGGAAATCTCCAACTATTTCGCTTATAGTTTATATTTCTGATTTTGTTTCAGGAAAAACCAACTCTAATACAGCCAATACAACAAGCACCACAACGAATACGGTGACGAACACAGCTGCAGGTGTTGAAGATCTTAACATCATACAAGTGACTATACCAGGTATGTGAACTTGACAGATTTTACTGCTGTGTATTTCTTGTAGCTTTTTTCTTTCCTATCCTGAGTGGTGCATTGGTTCATTGCAGCATTGAATGAAATTCAAAAGCCTCTTTGTAAGAGGGCTTTGCATACAGTTTTACCGTATTAATGATTTTCTGACATTTTATGGATATCTCTCCGGTCACATCTGCAGAATAAATGAATCTCGGTCTAGTTCCTAGTCAAGCGGGTGTCCACCTTTTCTTAGTCTCCCACCCAACCACATGCTAAATTTAAACTTGAATTTGCAACCTTATTGGCAGTCTTAGTGACTGAATGATCTGGGAGACCTGAATTATTTTCTCTTCCATCAAAATGGGTACTCTTAACTCAGGATAAACTTCATTGGATAGGCATGCTGGGAAGCTTACAGTGGTACTAAAATAAAGGATTTCAGTCCTGGTACTTTTCATTGTCGCTACATTCACTGAAAGGAAATACTTACAGGTCATACTTTGTGTTTAACAGGCATATTTGGCAAATTGCATTTATCATGTAATATGTTAAAATCATCTACAGGTGACTTTTAAAACACCTGTAATTTTTCTGCAGCTTGTATATTTTTATTGTCCTCTATTATTACTAAAACCAGAAGGTACGACTGCCTGTCATCTTCTGGGGAGATGTTTATTAAAGTAAATGCTGTATTTATCCAAATCCTAGACGACCTCTAAATTTAAAGATGATCTTCCCAATAATTAGATTATATATGTGGAAAAGTTTTCTAGTTCTGTTGTATTTTCTGTGTGTAAAATGTAGTTAATGGAAGGTAGTCTTAAGTTCACCCCCGCCACCCCCTGCTCCGTTGTGGCGGGGGGAGGGGCCATATCCCTGCCCCTTGTCCCCCACCACATTGTTCCCTTTCTGCCTGCCCCTCCCTGCCTTGTTCCCACCACCTACCCCTCTATTGGTGTTCCTCACTGCATGGTCTCCTCCACACTGCCCTGGCTGTGTGCCCCTTCTCCTGCCACACAAGCCACTGGCTCGAGGCAGGTGGTG